AGGAAGTTTTGAGGCCTGTCTAAAGACTTTGCCACGTTCTCTACATTTGTAAGGTTTCTTCCCAGTGTGAATTCTCTGATGAATTCTAAGTGTTGAGGAACACCTAAAGGCTTTGTCACATTCTATACATTTATAAGGCTTCTCTCCAGTATGAATTGTTTGATGTTGTTTAAGTTTTGTGGACTCAATGAATGCTTTGCCACATTCTGTGCATTTGTAAGGCTTCTCTCCAGTATGAATACGCTGATGACGATTAAGGTTGGAGGACTTACTAAAGGCTTTGCCACATTCTCTACATTTGTAAGGTTTCTCTCCAGTATGAACTTTCTGATGTCGATTCATGTTTGAGGCTTGGCGGAATGCTTTACCACATTCTCTACATTTATAAGGTTTCTCTCCAGTGTGCATTCTCTGATGAAGAATAAGGGTGGAGGGTAGGCTAAAGGCTTTGCCACATTCTGAACAGTTATACGTCTTTTCATCCCTATTATTTCTATGATGTTGAGTATTTCTTGAGGACTGACTAAAGCCTTTTCCATTTTCCCTGAGTTTGTAAAATTTTGCATTGGCATGAATTCTTCCCTTATGTACAATAAGAGATGAATAACATTTAAAGTCTTTGCCACATGTTTTACATTTGTAAGGCTTCTCTCCAATATGAGTTCTCTGATTTAGAGTACAACCTGAAGGCCAATTAGATGTGTTACCAGAATCTTTACATATATACGGTTTTTCTCCACTATAGATTTTTTCCTGTCCATTTATATTGTATATTTGACTGGAGATGCTACCACAAGGATTCCATTTGTAAGTCTCCTCCCCAGGATGAATATTATCTTGTCCACTGTAATTTGAAGACTGCTGAAAAGAGTGGACACAACTTCCTTGGTGTGTGTTTTCCACAATAGAAATAACCTGACGTATATTGTGAAAGGACATTTGGTCAAGGACATTTCCACTTTTACGATGGTCTTCTGTAAGTTCACTTGTCCGATGATTAAGATATGACTCTTGCTTAGATTTGTTCCAATGTTCAATCCACTGATAACTGCTATCTCCATTTTTTGTACTCTGGTGATAATGGGAGACAGAAAGACCTTTAGTGAGTTATAATCACATTAAACATATACACTAGATCCATAAGAACCATTTGGTGATACTCATTACAGCAATCCTAATACATTAAAACTGGAGGCCTGCTGTATAAAAATCTTGCACTCGGGGGTGTATCCTTCAGCCCAGCCTGCACCCTCTTGCAGTCCGGGAGCCCTCGGGAGATGTCCTAATGTCGATGTAGGCCCGCTCCTCCTGGGGAGTGGGCCTAAGCCAACAGCTGGACATCCTTAGTGCAACCACAGAGGTGGGAGAAGCTCCTGCCACCGCCACTGCACTCACCAGCTGTGAGCCCAGCTTCTGGCTGAGTGATGCTACACCTGTGGGAGTGCACTGACCACCAGGGGGCAGCTCTAATGTTTTGCAGGATCGGGCTGAAATCAACTCTCTGAAATCCCTTGACAGGTGCCGGATTGTGAGATGATGCAGGCCAAACAGAGGGACCCCAAAGGTGCACGATTGGGGGCGGGGAGAGATTCCACAGTTTGGCCAGTCAGAGAAGGACTGTGGGAAGGTGCCAGGGCCTGTCCGGCCCATCTTGCTCACTCCTGACCAACTAGACCGCAGCAGCAAGCTAACCTACCAGATGGAGCATCTGCCCCCTGGTGATTAGTGCATATCGTAGCTAGCAATTGAGTGTCCTTAATCTATCGTTAGCATATTATGCTTTGATTGGTTGAACAGATGACCGGACCACCAAACACTTACTATATTAGGCTTTTATTATATAGGATGATAGACAAAATACAAATACAACACCTTAATTATTAGAGAAAGAAGAATGAATCCTGTTTCAAAGACTGTCAAATGACCTT